CTTTCTTTGGATGCATCTAGAAAAAATTTAAAAACCAAGCTCTTGATAAATCATTTACATTCTAGAATGAGCAATCACTATAACATAACGATTCAATGTGATTATCTATGTGTTGTTCTATTATGTTTGATTATGCCATGGTTTATTGATTGTATGTTTGTAATAAGCTTACTGTGAATATTTAAATCAGTTTTAATATAGCTTGTAAACCTCTGTGAATTGGACTTGACTGTAGTGGCACATAAATGTAATAAACAAATAATCTATCCAGGGAGACACACTCTTTCTCACATACATTTCTAGACTATACTAGATCGAGAATGGAATAACAAGACATCAGGAGCACCAAGTAGGTAAACCACAATGGAGACAACTTTCTCTTTATAAGCATCCCCACAACAGCTATTGAAGTTAGGGATGAGGTTGATAGCACTCGAGGAAGAGTGGAGACAAACTGAATTCTAGTCAGAGCAACAACTAATGTACTAAACATGCATATATAAGTTGCATATGCAAAATGACTACTTGGAGTGCAATGCTATACCAATGGAAATGTCCATATCTAAAGAACATGTAAGAATTTGCATACAGATGATAAAAAGAACTCACATACATATGATGAACCAAAGGACAACAAATTTAGCAAGGCTAGTCTTATTCTGGGACACATTTATTCCACAGTAATATTTGCAGCTATTGATATTTAGTTGACTGGATTAAAAAGTGCTACTAAATATTAAGAACATCCCATGGAAAGGTCTGAAGACATTGCTTAGTTTGTTAGCCATTCCATGAAAAGATGTTTCCTTCATTATAATTTTATTGACACACTTAAGGAGTTCGAGACTTTGTGAGAAACAATCTTCTGGAGCCATTTATCATAGAACTCTTTCGGAACTTGAATCCACATTGAGTCCCAGCACAACCTTCCTGACTGTGCTTCAGAGGCGAAAGATCTTCTGTGGCTGGAATGAAAGAGCACTTGCCCAAGAGGCACTTTTCTTGCCAGGCAAAACAGCGACAGAAGAAAACGTAGTCTCTCTCCTCAGATATATTGTGTGGAGAAAAGGAAAAAGACAGAATAACAGAGTTGGAAGGGACCTTGGAGGTCTTCTAGTCCAACTCCCTGCCCAAGCAGGAAACCCTATAATATTTCAGACAAATGGCTGTCCAGTCTCTTCTTAAAAATTCCCAGTGTTGGAGCATTCACAGCTTCTGGAGGCAGGTTGTTTCACTGATTAATTGTTCTAACTGTCAGGAAATTTCTCCTTAGTTCTAGGTTGCTTGTCTCCTTGATTAGTTTCCATCCTTTGCTTCTTGTCCCGCCTTCTGGTGCTAATAGGTTGACTCCCTTCTTCTTTGTGGCAGTCCTTTAGATATTGGAACACTGCTATCATATCACCCCTCATCCTTCTTTTCATTAAACTAGACATACCGTACCCAATTCCTGCAATCATTCTTTGTATGTTTTAGCCTCCAGTCCCCTAATCATCTTTGTTGCTCTTCTCTGAACTCTTTCTAGAGTCTTAACACCTTTTTTATATTGTGGTGACCAAAACTGGAGGCAATATTCCAAGTGTGGTCTTACCAAGGCATTATGAAGTAGTATTAACACTTCATGTGATCTTGATTCTATATCTTTGTTAAAGCAGCCTAGGACTGATTTAAAAGTTGGAGTAAACCCTTTGTTGTTATGAAGGGTTGGATAAGGTAATCCCTATTCTTTAATTTTGATGGTAAGTCAAAAGAACCATCACCTGACTGGTGGGGTCTGATTGGCAGAATCTATTTCCTGCTACTCTATGACTCACACCTCTTCCTGGTTGCTGTCTGCCAGTGGAAACTCACTGCTCTTTGGATAAGGATCTTTTTTCATAACTATTATAGGATCTCTTGCTTGAGCAGGGGGCTGGACTAGAACACCTCCAAGGTCCCTTTCAGCTCTATTCTGATTGAAAAATCTTTTTCTACCTTTCACTGTATAAACATAGGAACACCACCAAACTATCATGTTAGCAGATATGGAAAATTCATAGTAGATAGCTAACAAACTTTTACCAATATCAGTAATTAGGAAAGCAGTTAAAATCTATAAAATCCAGATGAGTGGCTCAAGCTCACAATATCATTTTTCTGCTATTTCTAGACACTGCAATTGTTAAGATTTACAATAAATTAATATCTCCCCTAATGAGGAATGTGCAACTAAGTGTGCAGAGCCTTCATTCTTGTAAATCATTTCTAAGTCTGTTCAGAAGGTAAGATAAAGTATGAAGTTTGTAAAGTCACTGGCAGCAAGAAATATAGCACAAGCTCACTGCATGGTAGTGATTGCCATTAAAATCTCAGGCCTGAACCACTTTATACATTATAGGATTAGTGAATCTTGGGGCAGAGTTATAAAATTCAGCCTTACTCTCTGGGTAAACCCTCATTATGTTAACAGAATAGCAACAGCATTAAGGTTTCACTCACTTGATAATTTAGATAGTATCTTGGGTGTGCATTTTTCACACTAGTATGTCATAGGAAAGCTAGATTTAGTTTTTATTGTTCATAAAATCAGCTGCTATGTTTTCAAGACCTTGGTAATACATTATTTCTTTTTTGCCAGTATCATTCATTACACTAAGCTCTTGAACTACCTCCCACATGGATATTCATAGTTTGGTAACTGAAGCATCATGTTAGTGCAAATGAATTACCTCAAGCATGCTAAAGATACGTGTTCCACAACAGGAATGTCTTTAGAGTCTTTTAGCCATTCTGGAGCAAGCCATTAAGAGCTGAACACCAAGGGATAGGAAACTGCTGCACACCGACCAACTGAGCTGCTAAAATCTGGTTAGGTTGGTAGTGATGTTCTCCAGGCTTATGGTCTTTGTTTGTTCTCCAGATTTATGGTTCTGGGGGACTTCAATCTGCCATTCATGGCCACCATGGAGCTAACCCACGTCATCTCCGGCATGACTTACAAGGGAGGCTATATGTTAGACATAGTTTTTAATCACATGCCAGTGGAGACATGATCTAAAGTTGGGAAATATTACTTGAATGTTTACACTAGAAAAATTGAAAAAAACCTTCTAGAAGTTTATTTAGAAAAGCAGTAACTGAACCAAAAGTATGTGCATGCACATACTGCAATGTGGATACATATACACAACAATTTACAGTACTTTAAGAATAAGAAGAATCAGTGTGGATGACATTTTTGTAGTGATAACTAATTCCTCCCCCATACAGACTAAACATGCATTTTAAACACAAAAGTACCATATAAGCAGGCACTCTAATCAAGGAAAAGGCAACTGTGTACCCTTCAGATATTTCTACTTTTAGCCAGCATGGTCAAAACAAGGTGTTGTGAAAGTAGTTCAAAACATCTGGAGGCACCAAGCATCATATCCCTGCGGTAAACCATTGGAATTAATTTCTGGTGTGCATGAAGTAGGAGGGCTTTAAGAATCATCTGCATGGGACACTAGACACTCTACTGGTGTGATCATGACTGATAAGGTCTGCATTTCTGTTGCCTTTCCTGAGAAGTTGTCTCACTCAATAAACTATTAGTAAAAGAGTGGAGCGATATTTATATTAGCAGCTGCAGCCAAAGGTTGTCATGCACTGGAACTTACTTGTGTGACATGCTTGGTAAAACAAAAGCCTTCTTCTAGGCAACATTGACCAACACTGTGTTCAGAAAGATGACACATTGATATGTTATATAAAATTGACAGAGAAAATAGGAATGACCTCCTTGTTTATATGGCATAAATTAAGCCCTCCTTTGGGATTCATGTTATTCTTTTTTTTGTGTGTAAAGGAGAAATAAATGATAGAAAACTATCCAGGGAAAAATGGTATTTCTTTTCTTGTTTAATTGTAGAATAAAAATCAAATATGTGAGTTAAAAATATCATATAGGTTCATCAGCTTCTAAGCACACCTGCTGTTCCTCATTTCTGTCTCAAATGATTCCAGGTCAAAAGGTGAATAATTATTAGACAAGATAAACCAGAATTATAAAGGCATGGAACCGAGTGTTTTTAATAGGTTCTTACCAATTAACTGTCACTCCGGGGAATATATTCTATTTTGAAAGAGAATTTACCACTACAAGAAATATTAACAATAATTACTCCACGTCTGTCCAATTGGAACATTAACCTAGAAACAGACGGGATCATTCCCAGAAGTCTGCCAACATTTTAACAAATGGCAGTGGCCCTTTAACAGATGGGATGCATGCTCTGTAGTTTGCCAGGATCCCAACAATGAACATGAGCTTCCATAAAAATGAAAGACATGTACCTTACAATTGCCAGCGATAGATTTCAGTGTCATCAATGCAAATGCTGGCTAAGCATATAGACCGACCACCAATTATTGGCACAGTTGGATAAACTTTAAAGCTAATTTTATCATTTGTGTAACATTATGTATATTTTTATAAACATTTTATAAATAATAATAAAAAACCAAGTGCTGAATTTAGCAAGTGATGTCAGGCTTTTTTGTGTTTCCAACTAATCCAAGTGCAGGGCACAAGCTAGGCATGATAGACAAGAGATCATTGGAAATGTGGCCTGTATATTATTTAATTATTTCACATATTTATTGACACAGAATAGGCAATCATTATTTATTATTTTTTGGATGTACGGTTTCTCAGTGTATGATTCTGTGTGCAACTTACATTATAACCTGGTATTTGTGACTTTTTCTACATGACTTTTCCCATATAGTCTTAAGTAAACAATTTCTTCTATATTTAATTTTTAAAAGTGAAAATAATCCTCATGTAGATTTTAAACTCAATTTACCCAAAACACGCTGACAACTTTTACACACAGATGCTGTTTTGTAACAATCTTCCCATTAAGAATCATAGACATAGCCTTTGCTGGCCAGTGCTCAGCTTTCCTTTCCACTGAAGACCAGTGAATAATAATAAGAACACACCCACACGTAGACAAACACACAAGCACTGAGCTCACCTTTCCCGTTCCTCCTTCATCTTTTCTAGGTCAACTTCTTTGAGTGTACTTTGCTTGGAGTTTCCCTTCTGATCACTTTTTACACCTTTATCCTCTTTTTTCTTGCCAAATCTGATTTAAAAATGAGATTTCATATTAAAATAAACCAGAAATATTATGAAAGTCTTAAGAGCTGATTTAAACAGACCGATTTAAGTAAACACAATACATTATGGTTTGCTTCAGCTTCAATAAAGCTGACTCAAGGAACTTAGATTTTATAGAGTATAACTTTTCCATAAATTTGTCATTATAATTTCCATTTTTATTGTTTTAGAAATACTTATCTTTTATGATTTTAATGCTTTCAATGTTGTAAAACATAGTCACTTCGAAAGGAGATGGGCAGCAAATAAATTTAATAAATAAAATAAAATAAAATAAAATAAAATAAATAAGGCATGTTGGAGTATCTATGGAGATTCTCAGTCATCTAGGTCATGATTGTCCCAAAGGTGCTTTTACACGAGGCAACTGGACTTTCTTTTTTCTCTTTGAAGACCTTTCGCTTCTCATCCAAGAAGCTTCTTCAGCTTTGACTGGATGGTGGGGAATCTTCAGCCAACACAACATATGCGCACACTTCAAACCCAAGAATACACTAAGGCAGAAGCTTGTCCACCCCAAGGATAAAACACCCAGACACAAACTGAGCAATGTGATATGTGCAGTACAATGCAGTGAGCCATGTTGAGATCTGTACATTGGGGAAACAAAACAACCACTTCATAAATGTATGGCACAACACAGGAGAACAAACCCATCAGGACAAGATTCAGCAGTCCATCTCCATTTAAAAGACAAAGGCCACTCTTTCAAAGACAGCAAAGTCCACATTTTGGACAGAGAGGACCAATGGTTTGAAAAAGGGGTCAAATAGGCCAACTATGTCAAAATTGAACAGCCCTCTCTCAACAGAGGAGGAGGGATACGACATCATTTATCTCCAGTCTACAACACAGTTCTTTCAACAGTTCCAAGAAAGCTCCACACCCATTTGAACTACTTAGGTGATCCTGACGACACAGATAAACCTTCAGGTGGCATCAACAACTCTCTAAAAGAATGCAAATGATCAGCTGTCTGCAAGGAGTATAAATCCTTCCATTCCCCACCATCCAGTCAGAGCTGAAGAAGCTTCTTGGATGACAAACAAAATGTCTTCAAAGAGGGAAAAAAAAAGTCCAGTTGCCTCATGAAAAAGCACCTTTGGGACATGGCATGTAGGAAAATCTCTAGGGACAGTCCAAGAAGGGAAGCAATTATGTGGTAGAAAATATGGGAAACCCTAGTTCTGCCAATTTCCCAAAAGATGAAAAACCCTGGCCAACCTAGTATCAAAGATACTTTAAAAACATGAGCAAAGAGAGTGAAATCCCTAAATACTTTAGCCCAAAGTCAGTTATTTCCAAGCATAAAACAAGGTGATGAAAACATGAAGTAAACTCAGCTTCAAAGAAAACAACAACCATTTAATGGGGAGATTTTCTTAATTTCTTTTATTAAATTATGTGGAGGAGAGCCTTGAAAGGCCAAGCCAGTTCTGTCTCCCAACAGTTTAATGTGATTGTTTTGAGGGCCTTACTGGGCCATTGGTGCACCTTTGTAAAGACAGAGAAGATCCCTCCTCAGACAATCTGGAAGGAGTTTAAAATTACTACATAGAATCCTCAGGAGAATGGGGCTACCCTGACATCGAGCAGTTACAGTCTGGAGTTATTTCTTAAGCCCAAATTTTTACTCATCATTGCCTGCGTAATTTGAATGCATGTATACCCTTTTCTTAATTGATTCACCATTTATTTCTAATGCTGTATTATTAATAAATATATTATTCTTTCTAGTTTTTGTAAAATTAGCAATGTTAACCATTATCTCTTTTCATTCAAATGCTACCTGGTGCTAATAGACCTTTATAAAAGGCATTCAATAGGTACGTTTCATATATGCGCACACATAGCGGTATGAATGTGTATGTATAAATTATATTTATGAATATCTTGAATATGTGTGTATGTGTGTGTGTGTATGTATGTATCTCTATAAAAATAAAATGTTCAGGACATTCTTCAGTTATTTTGGGTGTCTCTAGAAAATACTGTTTTATTCATTAAACATTTCTCCTGTACCATGTTGGATGAATTATGTTTTCCAAAAATGTTGGCATTTTTTTTAGTGAGCAAAATTGAATTCCTGATTTTAATTTCATTATTATATAGCTCGCAATACTACTGAATTCCAATAATGAGTCTCCAGCATAGTATAGTACAAAGCAAGTCTCTAAAAGGAAACCACACAATACTGCTTGAAGACTCCACATATTAATTGCCAATTAAAAATATCTTGTTCTGTGTAAATTCAGCATTTGCATAAGTGTGTGCACTAGGTGCTTACGCAAAATAGCAGGGGTTATGGATATGGATATCCCTTCACATATTGACTGTCACAGAGTAGACAAAGCACCAGTGTATGATAATACTACTGCCATTATCTGTAGTTTTTCTCCTTCTGAGTTCTTTCCAGTATTCTTGCTCATCTTTGCTATTTTTTGGTAAAAATATAAAAGTTGAATGGGGCATGTATGAATTATCTACAGTAAAAAAAAAGAAGTAATACAATCAACAATGAATAGGTGCTGAATGAATGTGGGTACATTGCAAAAGTGAGTGATCAGTTCAAAGGAAAAATATTTAAATGGATCAAGAAGAAGGAAAGTAACATCATTGTTGAGAATCAGTTTGGTGTAGTAGTTAAGGCACCATGCTAGAAACTGAGAGATCATGAATTCTAGTTTTGACTTTGTGCTTCGGGAACAAAACCAACTGGTCACCTTGGACCAGTCACTCTCTCCTAACCCTAGGAAGATAGCAAGGGCAAACCATTTCTGAAACTCTTGCCATGAAAACTGCAGGGTCTAGACTAGGCAGTTGCCAGTAGTCAAGAAAGACTTGAAGGAACTAAAAGTGTATATACTAGAGAGTCTGGTTTTTTTCTTATTGTATACTGTAATATTTTTATTGCTACTTTAAAAAAAGATGTATAGGTTCTGTTACATATTATAAAACAATTGCTACTCTGTTTACCAGCAGGTAGGAAGAAGAAATTATATGGTCTCAAAACATGTAATTCTGCTTGGGAATTCATGACTGATTTTGCTCAAGCAAAAAGTGGTATTCCTTTTTCCATACTCATCATTCCATACCCATAAGCACATTGCTTATGGGCCAAAAGGAATGAAGGGAAAAGAGTAGGAAATAATCAACAACTCAAAAATAAACAGAATGTTTTAGTGGAAGGCAAGGACCTGCCTAGGGATAAGCATCAGCAAAAGTTTCACTGAATAAAAAAATACTTCTTTCTCTCTAGTGAATTCAGATAGGAGGACTAAACACTGTTCTGTAGAGAAATCTCCACTTCCTTGAATTTTTAGCAGGCAGAAATATCATCAAAAAGAGTTGAGTATTTGAGATCATCAATTATTCTATCACATAATAACTTTACAAGCTTAACCAGATAGTGTAAAATAGCCCTCAAGCTAATTCTGGAAAGAATCTGAATCTAATAACAGCCCAGAAGAGAGCTTTCTTGTCTAATACATACATATTAAATGGATAACGCATTGCTTTCAAAGATGCTGCGTTCTAACCACACCATGTTTTATTGTTCCTGCTCTCCTTCCCCTTCCTAGTTTTATTTAAGCAGACCAGAAGTTTAATATTTGATTTTGCCTGTGCTAAAGTTTTTACCAATTAATTCTCCACAGTCTTTCTTGGTTATAGGAACAACACCAAACACGGACCAAAATAGAAAGAAATTGAAGTTGCTTCTCTTCCCTCTTTAGACCGTGATGCTGCCTTTTTTTACAAATTAAAATATATATATATATATATAAATCCCCCAAACTTCATTGTAGCACCTGGCAATTATAACAAGTAGATACTGCAACAAGAAGAGTGCTATTAGATAGTGATGTATTATTATTGTCAAAATCTGGATAAACTGAAGTAAGATTATATACTAATGGACTGTAAGTAAATCCAGATGAAAATAGCTCTCTTTGCTATTTTTGGCTTTATACCAAAACTGTGTGAAGTTGCACAGTACACCTGCCATACCAAATATACTGCCTTTTTGTAACCTTGGGCTCGATTATTATTTTTTTTAAAAAAACAATCTTTTTTTACAAAATTTTTAGAAAGTTCTTCGTGCTGGTTTTTATACCAAAGCTGATATCTGTAAGTTATCTGGTTTCCAAACATTCAGGTGTCAAAACTATGGCAGCAAATATGACAGAGTCCTCAGGGGATATGCTCATCTTTAAGGTGCAACAAGACTTGCTAGGCAAGAAAAAAACATCAACAGCTTCCACGAGTTCAAGTGCTCAGCACTCTCTCCTCCGATTTTCCCCCACAACAACCCTGTGTTCTTGCTTGGCTCCTTCATATGTGAGATGAAGCCTCCCACATCTCGAGGCCTTGGTTTTACTCTGCAATATAGTTTGTTAGATCTGGGCTGCTATTAGATTCAGATATTTCCATTAGATTCAGATATTTCCAGCATTTGCAATTATAAGAAAGGAATGGAGATGTTAGCAGTCTTTGATGTACAAGAGATATAAGATGATATAGTAACAGAAGATTCCTAAAAGGCTTGTCTTTAAAAGAGTACAGTGGAACTAATAGTTCCTGCCACTTTATATCTTAAGAAAAATCCCAGCTATCAAATGAAAAATTGCACTTATTCAAAAAATGCTAAAGAGGGGCACTTTACATGAGTTCCAAAAGACTATTTGAAACAAAAAAAATAGTACCAAGCCACATTTACTAAGTAAGTTGATGCAGTTATTTTTAAAAACCAACGTTCTCATATTATCCAGAAATATACAGTAGATGCTTCCTGATAAATAGTGATAATGTTAGACTGATAGCTCAATTAGGAGAGAAAAGCCTCCTGTGATGAATAAAACCACTGGGTATTTAATATATTAGGCCTTTCAAAATGGTTTCCTCAAACTATATGAAAAGGAGACAGAAAATAAAATTAAGAACATTCTGGCCTTTGGCCACTCTGCGTAATATTATGGGAGCATCAGCTGAAGTTTGCAATAAGCTATGAAAGCAGTTACAGCTATAATCCATTAGTATGCAGCTTGCAATGGAATGGCAATATCCAAATGCACTAGGTGTATTAGCTGTGCATACAAAAGCAGGAAAGGATTCTCTTTTCTGCAATTCCCTATCAAAAGAGCAAAAATAGGTGAGTCATGCCAATGGGAAAAATCTAAAATACTGCAGCCAAGAACAATTTGTGCAGTCGCAATCAATTCCCCTCTCCTGATTTTACCTTTAATACAAGTTTTTAAATTTCACATCTGGTTGCAAGAACATCAATAAATTGTTGCCATCTTACACAAATCATCTCAAATAAGGTATAAAAACAGAGGTGTAGAATTGTTCTGATCCAGCTGGATAGTCTATCAACTCAACAATCCTGCTTGACTCAACCTGGCAAGATGGAGTAGCTTTGGGTTTTTGCCCCCCCCCCTCCCCAGGGTCTGATGATTTGTTATCTCTGATTCTGGATGGGGTTGCAGTTCTCCTGACTGAGCAGGTGTGCAAATTGAGGGTCCTTATGGACTCACGGCTCCTGCTTAATGAGCAGGTTGGTGGCTGCGGGAGAGGTATCTTTGCACAAATTTGTCTGTGGCTCGTTGCATTCTTTCCTGGACAAAGAGGCCTTGCTCATAGTCACTCGTGCCTTAGTCACCTGCTGGCTGGAGTATTACTATGTGTGTTACATAGTTTGTCCTTGAAGACACTGAGAAGTTACAACTGACCCAGAACGTAACAGTACATACAGTATTGGGTGTCCATAGGTTCACCCATGTTACACTTTTGTTATACAAGCTATACTGGCTTCCAGTTTTCTTCCAGGTGCAATTCAAGGTGGGTGCAATTCAAGGGATGTGGTTATTTGTGGGACCACTTTTCCCTAAGAATATCTGCCTGTCCTACTAGATCTGACAGGATAGGCAGGTTCCAGGTCCCCTTCCTGAAATTTTGGCATCTAGCAGGATCTTGGAAGTGTACCTTTTCCATGGCTATCCCACCTTGTAGAACACCCCACTGCTGGTGATTCTACAGCCCACCACTCTCCCAGCCCTTGGAAGGCCATTAAGTCTTGGCTTTTTACTGAAGTGCTAGGATTGTATGGGTGGATGCCATGAAAAGAAGGTAGCTGAGCCTGCTGTGGATCATCCCAAGGGGGACAATTATAATGCAGGGTTTTTGTTTATTGTTTTTATGACTGTTTTATTTATTGGCTTTCCGGTTGTTATAAGCTACCCAGAGTTGCTTAAGATAGGCAGTCATATACATCTTTTAAATAAATAACTAAACTAAATAAATACAGAGAACCAAACTTGAATACTTTAATTTTCCATTTCAAAAAACTGTATCCATCATTTAAATATCAAATGTACCATAAAACTATCTGTTGTTATATTTTATCATCTCTCTTATCACAATTGATAAAGGAGAAGCAATATTTCTCTGATGCTGTCTCAGGCAACCCTAAGTGCTGATTGCTACTTG